TTTCCTAAATAACCAACAACTTATTGAATCACATGCTGTTTCCAAAATTGGAAAATCATCAGAAAAGAGAAGGATTAGATGAAGTAGGAAATGAATAATTATCTAATATAATTTGAAGTGATAATAATAGAATAATATTAATCAACATTTCCATATTTACTTTATCAAAAAACAATCATGTTAGGCTAGAGCTACTGCTAAAGAAGAAGCAAAAACTCTAAAAGAATTAGATCTTGCTCAGAAAAACGAAAAACAGAATCCAAGACGCACGAAGTATCAGCCGATACATCTTTTTATCCTGATGAATTATTAAAAGATCCCAAATGTTTTGATCAAACCATGAGGGATATTTCACCGGACACTTTAGCACTTTTATATGGTAAATTTACAATGAATATATTAAATCAATTTGCTATTGCTCTTTTCAGCTGAATTTTTTCAATTTTAATTAAAATTCAGAGGAAGGTGGACGGAAAAAGTATATTCGCGAACGATTGAAGCTGTCGCCAAATCAGAAATTTTACTTTCCCATTGTGACTAGTTACACATACGGATGGTATAAGCCGCATCCAAGTAAAGACAAGAAATACAATAAGTAAGTACACTAAATATATTTATAATGTATTAATATTATAACTAATATATATATTACTAATATATGGCGTAAAATCGCGTGCCCATTTTTTATCACTATTTAGATAATTATATTTTTTTTGTCTATTCTAACTTTTTTCTTTTCCACTCGTTCGTGTAATGAGAGCTTATAAGACTTATTTATTGAATCTTAATTGCCATTTTTATTGAAATTAAAAAAAAAACAGTGGTGCATTGCATCGTGCCTTGAGGCACGTGCTGGAACTTCCCGTACCGTAATGAAATACGCCAGGAGTATTAAATATTTTGAAACCGAATCAAAATAATATTCGAATCATCTTCCATATTTTAAATAAAATGATTCTTTGTTAACTTCCCGTAGGGTAAGTTATAGTAATCGTCCAAAAATCGAAATCAAAAAATTTCACATTTCTCGACGTTTTGAAGGTTTCTGAACATTTTGGCATACCTCAGAAAAAATGGATGTATGTGTGTGTGTGTGGTGTGTGTGTGTGTGTGTGTTTTGTATGTCCGCGTTTTTTCGTCCACGTTTTCGGGCGCACGGATCAACCGATTTGAATGGTTTAAAAAACATTCGATTCCTATTGATAGGGAGATGTGCTGATTAGTTTTTGGCAAAGGCAGGTCCAGCCGTTACGGAGATATGGAGCAAAGAGTGCAAAAAATAGAAAGCGAGTTTTTGAGAGAACGGATCAACCGATTTGAATGGTTTAAAAAACATTCGATTCCTATTGATAGGGAGATGTGCTGATTAGTTTTTGGCAAAGGTAGGCCCAGAGGTTTCGGAGATACAGAGCTAAATTTAAAAAAAATGGCTGTTTTTGAGAGAACTAAGCGTCCGATTTAAATGATTCAAAGAACTTTCTGCTTTTTTCAACAAAATAATTGATTTTGGAAAAAAAAATTTTTTGTTTCTAATTTTTTTTTTCAAAAATTTTTTTTGTAATTTTGGATTAAAAATTCAAAAAATCACCCAAGCTAAGCACAGTCTAAGCGCCACTCTGGTACAAATGTTTACCCAAGTGCGTTTAGACTGTTTGTGTACTGGAGCACTTTTCCAATTTTGTGAAAATTATTGAAAAATGTGAAAATGCCGCCAAGCTGAGCACAGTATAAGTGAAAATGTCGCACAGAATTATTTGCAAATGCGTTTAGACTGTGACTATGCGGGAGCACTTTTTCAATTTTGTGTAAATTTGGCAACTATTTTTTTTTTTGAATTTGATTCGAAATGAAATGACGATTGTTAATGTTCTGGAGATGATAAATTGATTTATTTATAATTAACTTTCCATAGGGTAAGTAATCGCAAAAAAATCGAAAATGAAAATTTTTATATATCTTTTACGTTTCAGAGGTTTCTGAATATGTTGGCATACCTTGGAGAAAATTTATGTATGTGTGTGTGTGTGTGCGTGCATGTGTGTGTGTTCGGATACAAATTTTCGTCGGGAACACGGATTTCGGGAGCACGGATGAAGCAATTTGAATAATTCAAAAAATATTCTAGCCGTTCCGAAGATATGGGGCAAAAAGGGCCAAAAACGGTAACTCAGTTTTTAAGAGATTTGTATAGTTCAAAAAACATTTTACTTGTATTAACAAGATGAAGATTTGATCAAATTTTCATGAAAATAGGTCTAGCGGTTTCAGAGATCTAGTAAAAAAAACTAAAAAAAATAACATTTGGCGGTCAACAATAATCATTAGACATTAGACATATGCATATCAAATTATCAGATATTTTATTGAGATTTTAACAATAAGTATAAGTTTTGTTTACATTCCTATAGGTTCCGTACCAATGTTTTTCCGTTAGACAGCGACGCGGCGCTTACGCGCTTTATATTTTGTCTCTATGCTGTTAAAGCAGTACGATTGCTTTGAAAAAAAGTTCAGATCTTCCAAAATATATCAAAATGAAGATAACATTTTTTCCAAAAAAAAAATTTTATAAAAAAAATTGTTTAAAATTTTTTTAAAAAAAAAATTTTTTTTTCAAAAAAAAGTAATTTTTTGTCCAATTTAAAATTTCTAAAAAATCTTATTTTTTCGAAGTAAAATTTTTTGCAAAAATGTTAATCGTTTTTAAAAAAATAATAATTTTTGGCACGGGAAGTTCCAGCAATTTGCCTTAAGGCACGATGCCTTAATTGCCTTAAGACAGAATTCCACTTACAGCTAGTTTTGATTTGGAATCTTGAAATTAAAATAAAATTGTCTTCCCCAAAAACTAACCATTTCTTCAGACTTAAAGTGTTTTTTTTAAGTTTCCGTAGGGTAGTTATATAATAATGGGCCGAAAATCGAAAATGTAAATTTTTGCATATCTTCAAGTTTTGAAGGTTTCTGAACATTTTGGCATACCTCAGAAAAAAATGACGTGTTTGTGTGTGTTTTGTATGTCCGCATTTTTTCGTTCACGTTTTCGGGCGCACGGATCAACCGATTTGAATAATTCAAAAAACATTCGGTTCCTACTGATAAGGAGACGTTCTGATTAGTTTTTGGCAAAGGAAGATCTAGTGCTAAAAATGGTTTTTCAGTTTTTGAGATAACGGAGCGTCCGATTTAAATAATTCAAAAAACATTTTAATTGCTTGACGAAATGAACAAGTGATAAAATTTTGTAAAGGCAGGTCCAGCGTCTCCGGAGATTCAATAAAAAAAGTTAACAACAAAGCCACATGGCGGTCAATATAAACATTAGGCAATGTACATCGTATTATCAGATATTTTATAAAGATTATAATGGTAAGTACAATATTTGTGATCGATTCCGTGCCAATGTTTACACGTTAGGCGACTACGCGGCGCTTACGCGCTTTGATATTTCGACTCCAAATCAGCTACGCAACGCGATTGCTTAAAAAATGTTCAAAATTTTCAAAAAAAAAAATGCATTTTTTCAAAAATTTCAAAATTTCTCAAAAACCTAATTTTTTCAAAGTTTTTTTTTTATGCTATGCACCACTAGTTTAAATTATTCCAATCATATTATTCGTTCTTTCAAAAACTGCCATTTATTGCACTCTTTGCTTTGTATCTCCGAAACGCCTGGACCGATCTCTGCCAAAAACTAACTAGCACATCTTTCTATCAACAAGAATAGAATATTTTTGAATCATTCAAATTGGTTAATCCGTTTTCTTCATAACTGAATTTTTTGCATTTTTTGCTTCATATCTCCGACCTACATTTGCCAAAAACTAATCAGCACGTCTTACTATCAATAAAAATGGATTGCGAAATCAGAATTCATACTGATCAGTTTTTGGCATACATCAGCCGGACTGTTTCTTCGTAATTATTAAAGGATTTTTTGCTTTTTTAATAAAATATCATCATGGCAGCAAAGCTCATTGTTGAAATAAACCGACGTCCAAAAATATTATAGGCCTACAAAGAGTCATGAATTATAAAAATTCATTGAAGTTTGGAATAACGGGCCGCGGTTTTAGGCAATACAAAAGCGCACAAGTTTTTTTAAAACATATCAATTGAAAACCACCTTGATTAAGTTAAAGTGAAAATTCGTTTTGGAATTAAACTGTAGAAAATCTTATATAAATAGCTAAATCTCGTTTTTTATTGATAAAGTTGATTATTTAATATTTATTTAAGTTTTTCCAACTTGCCTTAAGACAAAATGCCACTTGTTCTATTTAAATTATCTTTAACTTAATAGTAAAGTTTAGGTAATACACAGTTTATAATAATAAATGTAACAAATATTCAATCAATTTTGAAATATAATATTTGGATTGATATTATCAGTTTTTTTACAAAAATATTTTAAAATTATCATAAAATATTATAATATATATTATATTATATGTTTTACAGAATTGGTTATATCAACGATACTTTCTATCGCAAGCATGGAATCGAATTGGATCCTAGTTGGTATAGAAATCCCATGGCAGGCGCGCCAGATGTTTGCACTTGCATATATACATAAAAAAAAATTTTACTGGATTTAATTATATAAACATAATATTTAAAAAGTTTATAAAACAACCCAAAAATATACCATTCGCCATTGAACAGAATAATTTTCATAATGAAAACCGAAATGTGCATAGATTGGCGCTGGAATAGTTGCGACAAAACAAATTCATTATAAGGGTTAAGGGCTACGGACTTACTCCCTTGGTACTTTCTACAATCCTCGTGCAGGAGCAGTGAACCTAATATAAGGTAAATTAATAATACATAATTTACGTGATTAATGTTTTGCCATGAGATACAAGCGGACAACACTATATTATTACGTTCAATATTTGTTAAATATAAAATAGATCAGAATGATAAAATAATCAAATAATATAAAATTGTAATTGCATATGCTTATTTCTTTTATGATACTTCCCAGTAAACCACAAAACGTAATGAAAACGTTAATAGAACGTAACAGATTATACGTAAAACATAACGGTTACGTAACCTAAGAGGCACACAGACGTATCTATTTCCGCCTCATAAACGTAACGGCCTGTTTAGTTACGCGAAAACATAACGGTTTCGTTTTTGTAACGTTTCCAAATTGCGCGAAAACGTAACTGTTTCGTTTTTGTTAGGTTTCTAAATTACTAAATTAACGTGTAGGTGTCTTTGATGTAACTTAAAAATTTAATAAAATTTCCTGTAAATATAGAAACCATTTTTTATATTAATTTTATTTCATTTTATAATTAA